CCTTCAAATCTGCGCCCTGGTGTGACCTCCTCCCCTCGTCTCAACACTGATCGGCTTTAGTGATCTTTATAAATAAGTGATTGTACCGTTGATTTTATGACCGTATCTCTTCGCTTTACGAATCTCGTCACCCGCGTTGTTTATATTTTAGATCAGAATGCAAATGGTTGTTAGCAAAAGGGACATCCCAACATGAAAATTACAAATTGGAGATACCAAAATCAAACAAGTACGATGGAGTATTGCTGCCATATATGGTCTGGAGCCCCTTCTGTTTGCCTCGGGGTTCTTGATAAGCTCCAGAGGCGGATATGCAATATAATTGGCCCAGCTCTGGCATCTCGCCTACAGTCACTTTCTCACAGACGCGACGTCGCCTCTCTCTATCTGTTTTAAAAATACTTTCATGGCAATTGCTCCGAGGAGCTGCATTCGCTGGTTCCCAGACTTCATAGGTTCAAGCGCCCTACGAGGCTGGCATCCCGCTCTCACCCCTTCACTGTCGAAACTCGTAAATGTAGCCGTCTCTTCTACTCATGTCTCGCACCTCTTGCCTGTGGAACTCCCTTTCCTATTCCAGTTTCCCTGAGAGCTATAATCTCCAGCTATTCAAGTGTAATGTCAATCGACATCTCCAGTTGCCTTGATCTATCCACTACCCTTCTCCTTATACCCTCTTCTATCACTCTGATCTCGCTCTATATTTTCTGTAACCCCTTGCGTCCTAGTGGTTTCCCGCCTTGCTTGGGGTGAAATGCTTAAAAAAAAAAAAAACTTAAATATCTGGGAAGAATTATAACAGAGGAGGAAACGGACAACATCAAAATACGAAGGCGTAATGGAATAGCAAAAGATGCCTTTCAGAAGCAAATACAATTATTAAGAAACACGAAAATTTCGATAGAAACCGAAAAAAGGTGTACGATTGAAACGTCATTCAAGCTGATGTAATCTAGTGGCAAGAAAAAGAAATTGTTTTGCAAAATAAACGACAAAATGTTTCTTTACAACAATAACAATGCGTTTATTCAATTAAGGCTACAAGTTCAGGTATTAAGCCTTTCACATAAAACCGGCGCATAGGGTACTTTGACGTGGCGTAATGCTTTGCAAGCTTGTCTCTCTAGATCAATTACGACTGAATAGCGAGTTCGATCCTCACTGGGTGCCCCATACTTTCGGCCTTGTGCCACATCTAAGCTACGCTTAGAAAATCATCGTATAGGCGACGCTGTGGTTTCTTTATCGATAATCAGGAGAAGAGACAAATCTTCTGATTTTCGCCAATTGGCCAGGATTCATGCAAACATAGATTCAAGTTTTGATTCCAGTCATTTCTGAGTTCTCTTCTAACAATTCAATCTTTCTATTTTCCGACCTCAGTCTAGAAAAAAAAAAATTCTTTTTGCATGAACCTTATAGCTTTCCAAATCTACTTGTAAAATCCAAATTACCTACATCGGCTTTTCAAATCTTTCACATAATTATACATTCCGATCTTTTACTAATTCGAGATTTCATTTCTTTGTAAAATCCACAGTAATGAAAATACCTTAATGGTTTTTATAATAAAATTACTGACTTGTTCAAATCGATCCATTTTCTTCCTTAAAAAGAGTAACCACCTCAGCAGTTAGAACACAGTTTAAGAGTAAACGGAAGTAGGTAATGCATAAAGGAAGTAAGCACCTTAGTAATCTTGACATATTTGGGAAGGATATTCGAATAATGAAGAACCTATACTAGCAACAATCCGCCTGCATACGAATAGAAAATTAAGTCAGTAGATATACAAAAATAAAAAGGGGTGCAAGACAAGGGTGTGTCTTCTCACCAGACTTATTCACCAAACACAGTGAGGCGATTCTGAGCGAATTTTAAACTGAGATCTTCGGAAACAGCAAGCTGTCTGCAAGAGGAGTCTCAAGAATTCTGACACCAGAGCAGAAGCTAAGGACTTAAGAATTCCAGGACCCTTCTGATTCGCTTCCAGATTGACCCTAAGAATTTCCACCGTAGATTAGGTTTCGTTTGTTTTAATGCCGACATTTTTTTTCCTGGTAATATTTTTGTTTTGTCAAAAATCTATTTCTGTTAATATTCTTTTTCTCAAAAATATATAGATGGTAATATTATTTTTTCAAAAACGTATAGCTAGTAATATTATTTAAAAAAAAAAACTGGTAATAATATTTTTCATAAACGTATAGCAGGTAATACTATTTTTTAAAAATGTATAGCTGGTAATATTATATTTCAAAAACGAATAGCTAGTAATATTATTTTTTTTAAAAACGTATAGCTGGTAATATTATTTTTTTTAAAAAAAACCTATAGCTGGTAATATTTTTTCAAAAACGTATAGCCGGCAACACTATTCTTTAAAAAAAAAACGTATAACTGGTAATATTATTATTTCAAAAAGGTATAGCTGGTAATATTATTTTTAAGAAACGTATAGCTGGTAATATTACTTTTTCAAAAACGTATAGCCGGCAACACTATTCTTTAAAAAAAAAAACCTATATCTGGTAATATTATTTTTTCAAAAATGTACAGCTGGCAACATTATTTTTTCAAAAACGTATTATCAGAGACCTTGCTGTTGGACGTAGTTTATCGTCTTACCCAGGATGCGGATGTAGTTTATCGTCATATCCAGGACGCGGATGTAGTCTGGGTGTTAACTATTTGCCTATAGCTGGGATCCGAACAGGTGCTACCACCCTGGGCCAGGGTGGACCTGGGAACACCAGCAATTAAGAGGTGGTTCCATGCTCCTCAAAACCTCCTGATCAGAGGCCTCGCTGCTGGACGTAGTTTAACGTCTTACTCAGGGCGTGGATGTAGTTTATCGTTATAACTAGGACGCCCACCATGGATTAGTAACTCAAGATGAAACCTGAATTCACCTCTTTGCACCAGAATCAAAGCTTCAAAGCAAACGGTGGAAACACTTCCACCGCTGAAGACGTTCAAGCAGGCAGTATCTATTGGCAAGGTGATGGCTTGGGGGGACTCTGAAGCGTAACCATGATACACTACCTGGAAAGGCGGGGGGACTATTAATGGACAGTACTATGCATCACAATTAAAACAACTGAAGGAAGCAATCACAAGTCCAAACACAGAGGGAAGCTTAGGGCATGTGTACCCTTGCTTCAGGATAACGCGCCCGTTCACACTGCTCAGGTTGCAGGATCTGAATCAGCCAACTGTGGCTTTGAATTGCTTCCCCCATCCTCCTTACACACCAGATTTAGCTCCATCTGACAGTTCTTCCTGTTTCCTAAACTCAAATTCCATCTCCGCCTTTTTGGAAACGATGATGTGATCGTATGTGTTGTGGAGGAGCTTTCGAGGATCTAGGACGTCACCTTCTTCCGTGATGAGATTGCAATGCTTAAGCATCATTCGACCAAATGCATCGACGTCCGGGGTGGGGAGGGGTAATAAAGGGAAAAACTGTCTCGTTTCTCAAACTAACGTCCGGATGTGGTTTAGAACTTTTTGAATTACCCTCGTAATAATATATTTTATTTTAGTATATAGTTATAATATGTTTTGAAAACCTAACGAATATTATAAAATATAATATTATAAATATTATATATTATAAAATATATTATTATAACATGCCGTATATGAAAGAGGATATAAAATAAGCGACTAGCCAAACTTTTAAATCTATGAAACTGCTTGAATTCAAAAAATTTCGTTGATTCCAATCTACGGTATACGCACTCAACTCTGTTTAAGAAAAAAAAAAACACGACGACACAGCGTATCATAACAAAGGAAAGAAACTCGGTTTGTACAACGCCTGGTACCATTACTACTACTACTACTATATATATATATATATATATATATATATATATATATATATATATATATATAATGTGATGTCATTTGTTTACATTTGGATACGCCATGAGCAGATATGAATGTACGTGAGAGAATCATGTAAGATTGTAGTTTAAAAGCAGTAAGTTCGACCTTGCTAAGGGAACGCTCCTCTGTGGCTGGATCGGTGAAAGGCACATCAGTCTATATGACAGTTTCGTATAGGATACAGGTTCGATTCCTGGTGGAGGACGAGTATTTTCAATGAAAATTTCTCGGACATTCAGGCTGGTAAATGTTTGATTAATAATGTTTATTATAAGCAGAGCTTTTACTTAAAATATTTGTGTCTATAAAAAGAATGTATGAATATATATATGTGTGTGTGTGTATTTAGGCAGCAATCCTTCATTTATACATGTTTCATTAGAGACGGCAGAAAAGGTACTACGATTAAGCTTTTTATTCAATTTTTCTTCTGTTCGAACACGAACAAGTGTTTTCTTTTCTGGACACAGAGTGTGTAGAAACTGTTCAAATATTCCATAATTCCGAGCGCTTTCGGATATATTTTTAGCCATTATCAAGGATGATTTTGTCTTTGCTTTTTAATTGGGTGTATGGGTTGTGTGTATGTTTTTAGAGTTATTATAAAATAATGAAAATTTGAAAATTCCTTGTACTTTCAGGCCGGTAAACGTTGTTAATACCGTTTATTATAAAACAGAGCATTTACTTAAATAGTTGTCTCTATAATGTACAAAATATCTTAAAGTAATTATCGGACTTGTTTATTTATATATATATATATATATATATATATATATATATATATATATATATATATATGCAAATAAGAGTATGCGCATATGTGTACGCATGCGCACAAGCTTACGGTTATCAGGGCATCAAAGGGAGACAATGACGAGAAGAGAGACGAATGAAGAAAACTTTCTTTTTTTTTAACAATTGAGAACTGAAGGCTATTTAAAGATAAAGAAACATAAAAATCATTATTTCGCTTTGATAGGCAGTTGTGAAAAAAATTAAAAGTACGTAAATGCGAAGAAATAGTGACTTCTTTTTATTTATTTATTTAGTTATTTATTTATTCATTCATTCATCGCCGCTGCTAACAGCGACGACCGAATGACCTAATTTCCCAGGCGCGGGAAAATGCGAAAGAGGTTGCTCGCCGAAGCGTAACAAAGAAATGAATGAAAACGAAAGAAAGAAAGAAAGAAAGAAAGAAAGAAAGAAAGAAAGAAAGGACCGTACGGTTCCTCAGGGCCGGTTAAAGTGATGCGATTGTACATTAGTTTCGAACAGGGCGATATTTTCCGAAAAAGATATTCATCTCGACCTCCCCCCACAAAAAAAAAAAAAAAAAATTACTTACAGTTATATGCACCAAATATGTACCAAATACAAATGCTAGTTCGTTTAAATTATTTCTTATCAATCCCAGCCGACACGGTTCATATTCAATATGACACACTTATTATTTTTCAAATATTTTTCTTTGCGGTGCGTTCGTTTCATAAAAATCGCCGCTTTTTTATTAGTCGAAAAATTCATTAATGGCACGACTATTTCGGACGGCACTTGAATTTGAAACGCAAAAATACGGGTTCCTTTCGGTCCCTCCATCTGTGGAGAATTCCAATAAAACCATTCCTAAGCTGAAAAGCTAAAAAGAAATACTCAGTAATTTATTTGCAGAACTTTTTTTAGCGTTCCCAGAATCCCGAAATAAATTAAAAAAATTTACGTTGATTGACAGTATTGTAATGAAAATGGAAATAGTAGCAATTAACGTTTCCTTATAAAGAAACATTACTGTTGATTAAAAATTATAAAATCTTCGACAATGTTTATTGTTTTAAAAAGCGATGAATCGTAGAATTGTAATAAGACCTAAACATATGATGAAAATGAATTCATACATTTCTTTTTTGTTCTTGGGAATTTACAACAAAAATATTAAACAGTATTTATTTTTTGATTGTTTACTAACAAGATTAATGTTTGTTTGGTTTATTTTGTTTTACGGCATATCAACACTTCAATGGGTTATTTAATACCGGCAAGATTTTTAGGATAGGCTCGTATGAATAGAATATGTATTCCTTGTAAGAAATCAATTTGTAGATCAGGTTTCATTGATACATTTTTGTAAAGAGAGTTTTCGTCGAGAGCTTGGTTTCATTGATGTATTCATTTCAGATTGGTTTAGTTTATTTTGTTTTATGGCATATCAACCTCAATGGGTTATTTAATACCGACAAGGTTTTTATTCATGGCGATATTTTTTTTTCTTCAAAAATTCATTGCTGGTAATGTTTTTTCCCAAAAATCTATTGCTGTTAATATTTTTTCGAAAAATCCTTTAAAAATGGTAAGTTTTTTTATAAAAATGTATTGCTGGTATTAAAATTTATTTTTACACATTCAAAGTGTTTTGACCCCAGTTTGGGCGTTAACTATTTGCCCTAACAGGTTTTACCACCTCGGGTCAAAACCTAGAAACACCATCAATCAACAGGTGGTTCCACACCCCTCAAAGCCACCTGATCAGTAGCCTTACTGTTTGATGTATTTTATCGTCTTACCCAGGACGCCAAGATTAATGTTATATTCATAAGATTTTAAAAGCTAATACAATTAAACCTAATGCAATGCAATATTTATCATTTAACAAATTAATAAAAAATAAATAAATATGAAGACAATTATTTATTCATGAATTTATAAGTATTTACTAAATTATTTACCTTATTTACATTATTCGGGCTGTTATCCTCATCTTCATTGCCATATTCACAATATTTCGGCCTTTGTACGCTCCGGACTTCTTCAGGATCTGTCTATATCTCTGAGATGAGGTATTATGATTATTTACATAATTTACATTATTAGGACTGTTATCCTCATCTTCATTGTCATATTCACAACGTTTCGGCTCTTATACGTTCCGGCCATCTTCAGGTGATTAGAATTTCGAACCGAGCCCTTTGTTACGGCCCCCGGGGTTAATATGGCAAAGAAGATGAGACGGTCGGAGCGTACAACGGCCGAAATGTTGTGTATATCGCAATGAAGATGAGGATAACAGTCCGAATAATGTGATTAATGTAAATAATCTTAATACCTCATCTCAGAGATATGGACAGATCCTGAAGAAAGCCGGAGCGTACAACGGTCTAAGCGTCGTGAATATGGCAATGAAGATGAGGATAACAGAACGAATGATGTAAATTATGCAAGTAATCATAATACCTCATCTCAGAGATATGGACACATCCTGAAGAAGGCTGGAGCGTACAACGGCCGAAACGTTGTGAATATGGCAATGAAGAGGAGGATGACACTCCGAATAATGTATGTAATCATAATACCGTATCTCAGAGATATAGACAGATCCCGAAGAAGGCCGACGCGTACAACGGCCAATATGTTGAGAATATTGCAATGAAGATGAGGATAACAATCCGAATAATGTAAATAATGTAAATAATCACAGTAATTCATCTAATTGATAGGGACAGATCTTGAAGAAGGCTGGAGCGTATAACGGCCGAAAAGTTGTGAATATGGCAATAAAGATGAGCCTAACAGTCCGAATAATGTAAGTAATCATAATACCGCATCTCAGTGATATAGACAGATATTTATTAAATGATTTCTCATTTAGTCTCTGCCACTTTTCAGTTAGTAGTCATATTTGGGCGGAAACTGCCCAGTCCACACTTTTCAGTTTCGATAGAATCCCAAAGTATCTCAGAGTCCTTGGAGGTGACAAATTATTTTCGACCATTCTCTCACTGGCGGGATGTGGCAAGCCTCTCCCTTCTCTATCGCTAATTCCATGGAAAGTTCTCGAACGAAATACATTCCTTGGTTCCACCAGTTCTAAGCTTCAAAGCCAGGACCCTCAATGCCACTCACATTGTAGCAACCCACCCAAATTTACTCCGTATTCCATCGATGAGAAGTAAGATTCAGTTGAACAGCTTCTTTCTGCGAACCACTGCTCTGTGGGACTGACTCCCAAGAGGATGCTTCCCCAATTACTACAATCTTAAACTGTCCAAGTCTAGAGTTAATCTCTATCTTCCCCTCCTATCTGTATAAAGTGTCTCTTAATGTAAACCTCTACCTCGAGTAGCATTGTACAGGGCGAAACTTACTGTAAAAAAAATTCCTGTGCGAATGACGTTACTGAACGCATTGCTAATTATTTTACTATAGGAATGCATTGTCAATCAGAAAGAAAAGGATTGCCAGTGGTTGGGAATTAATGAAAACCTTATTGACAGAATCAGGCTATTGTATGTATACTACAAGTGCTATGTTAATGATTTTACTATAGGATTATATTGAAAGGTATTGTCAATGATCAGGAATTACTGCAAGACTTACTGAGTATAGAACTATTATACACTAGCAGCATGGCCCGTCGTTGCCCGTGCTTGATTCAAAAATCGTATGACGCATACAGCAATTGCTATAACTAGACTTAAACCTCTTTCTCACAGAATGTAGGGGATGTGGCAGGCCTCTCCCTTCTCTATCGCTAATTCCATGGAAAGTTCTCGAACGAAATACATTCCTTGGTTCCACCAGTTCTAAGCATCAAAGCCAGGACCCTCAATGCCACTCACATTGTAGCAACCCACCCAAATTTACTCCGTATTCCATCGATGAGAAGTAAGCTTCAGTTGAACAGCTTCTTTCTGCGAACCACTGCTCTGTGGAACCGACTCCCAAGAGGATGCTTCCCCAATTACTACAATCTTAAACTGTTCAAGTCTAGAGTTAATCGTTATCTTCCCTTCCTATCCGCATAAAGTGTCACCTACTGTAACTTTGTACCTCGAGTGGCACTCGGACTTTGTACAGGGTGAACCTCAGTGTAAAAAAAAGTAAGATTCTGTCATGCTTGAAAATAACACACTGTCTTTCTTCCAACGACGAACGTCCATGTTTTTCGCGTTTTGTCTTACGTCAGTTGCGTGCAAACGTAGGTAGGGCTGATAATGTGTCGATATAGAAAAATTATCCACATTTTGTTTGGTGTAAGTGAAGCGGAAAACACAAAGCCATTTTTATTTATTTATATTTAAAGATCTGTGTGTCTCATCTGCTTTTTGACGTCCTTAATCAAAAAGGTGACACTGGAATTTTTATTTTTAAAGATTTCTGTGTCTATTCTGTATTTTTTTTTTTTTTTGACTCCCTTAGTCCAAATGGTCAAACTGGACTTTTGAGTTTGGCGAATAAAAGACTGTATTCTATTTTTTGGCTGAAATATAATAATAATAATAATAATAATAATAATAAATAATAATAATAATAATAATATCTGCTTCTTTAATTTTGATGTCACTGATAATGGAGGCCGCCGATGTGGCTGTTGACATGAAAAGAAGTTCGTGTGTGCGTTGTGCAGGTAGGCTGAGGACTAGAAGTCAATGTAAAAAGAGAATGACGACTATATTTATTCCGTAAATTTACAGAATTTGGGCCTATTTTTAGTTTCTGTCTCTTAACTAGATCCTGGCACGACACGCATAAGACATTGTTCTTAACGCCAAAAGAATTCATACACCAGTCATATTCCTTCTCAGTAGACACACATATACACGCACTTTTTTACGCACGCACCACACACACACACATAGATAGATGATAGATAGATAGATAGATAGATAGATAGATAGATAGATAATAATGGACAGACTGAGATAGATAGATAGATAGATAGATAGATAGATAGATAGATGATAGATGAGATAGATAGATAGATAGATGGACAGACTGAGATAGATAATTGACAGATGAGATAGATAGATGATAGATAGATAGATAGATAGATAGATAGATAATTGACAGACTGATAGATAATTGACAGATGAGATAGATAGATAGATAGATAGATAGATAGATAGATAGATAGATGTTTGTTATCAACTCCTTATGGATCATTTAATGCCGAAATTTAATTTTCTTGCGACCATTATTGATATCTTTTACAAAAACGTATACAACTGACCTTTCAATCACCTGGTGAATATTCATGAACGTTCTCAATTTTAAAAGCCTTGAAAAAACAATGACACCATTACTTTGGTATATAAGCACGTGCACCAAA